ATCTGAACACCGAGAAAACGATAAAACCGGGTGAAATATGGTCTAAAATTTTGAGACAGATTACACAATACATTGCTGCGCCGCTGACTACAATATTCAGTATGTCACTTGGGCAAGGTGAGTTATGTGTGAACTGGAAGGCAGAAATTGTCAACTTTCATCAAACTAGAGACCTGTGAGTTTCACCAATGTCACAGTTAAAATACTGGAAATAATAACCAAAAATGCCTTAGTAAATTCGTAGGAGCCAACAACTTATAAAACAGGAAACAGCATGGTTTCAGGAGAAAATGATCTTGCACGACACAACTCTTTATAGCGAGAGAAAAATAAAGTCTCTAGATAATGAAAAATCAGAGGGTGTTTTTCACATAAACTTCATCAAAGCACTTGATAAGGTACCAAGTTTATATCACTCTTGAAGCGGAAAAATCTAGGAGTTGCTTGTTCTCGTCGGAAATAGACCAAGGATTTGTTGGTAGGTCGTAGACAGGTGAGAATAAATTCCAAATGCTCTTTCTGGAAACCAGTACCTAGTGTAGTACAGTAAGGCTCCGTCCTAATTTGTTTACCTTATATATTGTATTTAGATGACTCCTAAGTATAATTGGGTCCTTGATTGTAATTTAAACTGATAATATATAAATTTAGCGGGAAATAGTAATAAATGTAGATGCATGTGCACTTTTGGTGGATTTAGATGTTCTGGTTAGTTGGTTCAAAAAAATGACTGGTGCCCGTCAACGTCGCTGTCTCTACATAGATACTGGGGAAGGCAAGCAGGTAAAGCCTAGAGAAAGATTCGGTAGCCCGTTATTTCGTCACAAATTGATTTCAAGGTAACGGTGAGGCATTATCTTAATACCACAGCCCACTGCCGGGAGGTCTTAGCTGATGGTTTTAGAACCTTGTGACCCTTAAGACAGACGTAAGAATACTCACAAAACTATTAATTTTGGGGATTTATTTACCACTACACTAGGAGAATACAAACACGATCCGTAGGCGCTTCGTCCTCGTCACACAAATCTGAAACCTAGATCTTAAATCTTAAATTATAATCCCGTCTAATAGAACATTATAAACTATTTCTCAACTGATTCTTTCTATTAAAATATCCTTTATTCAGTTATTATATGACCATCGATCTGAGAAACTACGTGATTTCGGGAATACAAATGTGTTGAGAAAATAACGAATTCAGAGATAAACAGTTCTGTATCGCCAAACGTGTTATGAAGACGTGTATGGATCAATGAATTTATGACAACTAGGTTACAAAATTAGTTTTTCCATAAATTTCAGGGTTTATTTATCCACTCAATGTTCGCTCGAACCTTTATGAATATAGTCACAGTCAGCTAAAATAAGGTATATCTAAGGTTTGGATACATCAAACAAAAGAATACTCGAAACGTCTTGTTTTCTTTTCTAAGTGACGATAATTGGGAGTTGAACGACTACTCTTTTTGTTTATCATCATCACACTCCGTAGGTCAACCATCAGCAGAATTGTATACTCTTCAACAGTTATCGCTGCCTTTCATTTGAAGTCTTCCGTTATATATCTCATATTTTGATTGTACAGTTGTTAGGAATTGACAACAACGAGTTGGTGGTTGTTCCAGACTAATTTTGTAAGTGGAAGGTAAGTGTGTCATATTTATTTACAAAGTCTCATTATTTATGTTAGCTCATTTAGTTAGGGTAACAGATTTTCGGAAACCAACTTACAAAATCTTTTACAGTAGTCTCTTCTTTGACACCTTTTAACAGTTTGATAACAGTATTAGTATGATAATTGGTAGCTACCAATTATACAAGTATACGAACAAATGTGCTAACTCACTCTCAGCCACACAGAACCAGACGAGCACAAACGAACCTATTGTATTTGGAATTCGTAATAAACAGGTAATCGAGTACAAAGGAATTTTTACTTCGTACTGAAATCACAGTTTGTGATAGGGTTAAGTATATATATATTCGCACAAGTAACCACCGGTGATGAAGTGCATGAATTCTGATCATTGTTACACATAAATTCGGAATGAAATGATTATTCTGTCTCATTAAAAACCCTAATTTAGTGTGAAGCAATGTTTCATCAATAATTAATGGATCCAACCGCACGTCATTCCAATAAGTTTGCTGATACCGTTTGACAACTGGAACTGTTTTCATCCCGTCATATTTATTCATCAAAATGTATACGACAACTTTGTGCTATTTTAAATTATCAAACAAATAATTTCAAGATTTCATTCTTCTGACTTGTCCGATTTGGCCGACTTTTCTGTAGTTTCCAACTATCTTTGATATTATTAACTGAAATTTTGCACCGACTTTTATGCTCCTCAAGCCAGTCTTTGTGACGAACCTTATTTCTACTGAATTTATATAATCGTGATGTCCTAACAGACCTTAGCTCAATAAAACGTTACAAATATCTTACCAAGTAATGTCATAACTTCAGGTTCATGACAGATCTTAGTACATCTTAGGCATCCTGTCAAAATAGTCTTTGTAGAATCGGTTGTATGTGGTAAGTCCACTGGATGGATGCCATTGGTTTTGATGACAGACTTTTAATTCAAAAGGCTAGTTTACTCGATTAGATTACCACAACTCAACGGCTAAGCATTCATAAAGAACAGGCTTGTAGTGCACCTGTGTAGTACCTACATGAATTTGTCCTGGCTTCTAAGCAGATAAATCATTTCAATCTTTTCGGTTATATTTTAAGCCTCTATATATACGTCCTTCCCAATTTTCACTTCTAACCTTGAACATCTTTGCACGGGTTTTTGTGTGCGTATATCTGTCTATCTTTTTTTCCATTCGTTGACAATCTTTTATCTCTTTACCTACTCAGCTGTGAAATTTAAACTTCAGTATGCTGTAATGCTTTTCTTCACACATCGTCGACAATCCATTTATATGAATGCCTGTTTTTAAAATGTAATATTTTGAAATACTAGTATTTGGCTTTTTGTTATCCGTTTTCTCTTATGAGATCGGTCGAAAGAATGCGTACGGCGTTCATAAGGTTCCATAATTCATCATTCACCCTCATTCACTGGAGTCAACCCAAGAGCTATAGGCTGAAATCGTAACGCATAAGTAAATGATTAAAAACTCATTATATGACTTACATAAAGAATAATTTTGTTCCTTTCATGCTCTTTTAGAGATGAAAATCGAAACTTTGTATTGTGTATGTTAAGTTTGTCAACCAGTGCATCCTTGTATTACGGAATGTGAATTTCAACTACTGGCTGCCTTTTTGTCTATCAAATTTGATACTTGAATATTCATAATAGGCCTAATTATCTGTTTGCTTATTTTCCTCATATCACTCAACGGCTGGTTAAGATATTTAAAGCTTTGTCATTAAAAGTAAGCTAAAGATGTGGCACAACTTACAACTTCGTATTCTGGTACTATAGGTTTGGTTAAAACACTTTGTAGGTTTTGAACTTAGTACTTAAAGTTGTACCACATCTCCTTACGGTTTGTTAGGTTTTCTGTGGGGTATAAATTAAAAGTAGCGTTCCTTTGTTTTCTATTTTGTAAAAATTGAGAGTAGACGTTCAACAGCAATATCGTTTATTTAATTTTGAAGTATCATCATTTTCATAAATGATTTTAATTTCCTTTGATACAACTGCAAAGTCACGACTGGGATATCATAAAATCATCCAGACGTTAATTGGTTTTATTACATAGGCTCAGGGTACTAGACAGATTTGATAAATTGGTTGACCACGTCGTGAATCTTTAATAACTGAGATAACTGAAGCATGTACTAAATAGACACAAGCACCATCTACTTCTGTTTAGTATTGTTAGAGTATGTGCAATATATAGAAAAGGGGAGACTAAAATAAAATCTGATTTCAGTTTGTGAAATATCTAAATGTTGATCAGAGCCATGATGGGATCTGATGTTTGTCTAGCTAAGGTTTTTGTGACAACTGTGATCCATGGTTAGGGATGTGCGATATGACTCGTAATTGTCGACATTAGCACGTATAAATGCATTCTTTGCCTTTCACTAGTCTTGAGTCTTTAATTATTTATCTTTTTATTCCACCCACTAAATCTCGAATCATATTCCATATGTCTTACCTATTTTTACTGTCACTGATATTGCCATTAGTTTGATAATTATAAGTCAGTATTCTGATATCGTGCGAGAACTTGGACTGATGTACGTACGTAGGAGTTTTCACGTTTTTTATGATTAACTGACTACACTTATCATCATTGAATCTACTATCACTTAGAGGCACAAAAGTTGTATAACTTCATTTTTGTCTAGTCGTACTGGTTAAGAGTACACTGAACTACTAGTCTACTCATTTAATACAAGTACTGTCTAACCAATTATGCCGTTTTTTAGCAAATGTTGTATGGTTCATGCGTTTTTTTTTCATCCCATCAATTACGTTAAGAATACCATGTTTTGTACTTTAGATTTTTCAATTTACTAAAGAAAGGGTTTCTGTAAAATATTTAAAATATATGTACTTAGTTGTTTTTTATTTTTTGCAGTTTATGAACTTTGAAAATATTTTCTACAATATAATTTATCACCAGTTAAACCGCATAACTAATTATCGTTCAAGTCATTAGAGGATTCGAGTGTTTAAATTAGAAACACTCTAGTTACACGCTTTCAAAGTCTGTTTTGATTCTGGTAGCACAATAATTCGCTCTTGTAATCTCTTTGAACTCTCAGTTAGGCCTTGCTAGCTGATTGGATTTATTTTATTTGTTCATGCTAACAAAAGAACATACTTTATATCTTCTATCTTATTTAGGCTCATTCAACATATGATCATTTGCCAATCTTTCTTCAAATTCATGTAATGAGTTGATATTGACTTTAAATTTTGTGTTGCAATCTTTTCCTGAATTCCTATTGGTCAATTCTAGAAAAAAATTAAACCGATACTTATCTTTATTCAGAAAACTATTTGGCGTTTTGATCACCCATGAATCAGTATCAAAATGAAGTATATGAATCGTCATCGCCTGCACCTTCACTGACAGATGATCAATGTTCTTTAATTGATGAAGGCTATTGGCATGATAACGGTGTGTTTAATTTTGATAAATACTCTCAACAATCTTTTAAATAAAATTGTAGTATTGAAAAATATTTCACTGTGTCTATAATAAAAATCTATATTCATTCTTTAATTATAAGAAATATCACAGATATTTTGATCCATGGGATGAGAATCTAAATAAATTGGTACTTATATACCAACTGATCATCTTATTTGTATCTGGTTGTATCTAGAAATAATCAGTCTAAATGAACCTAGAGTTTTTACTTCATATTTATAATACTGGTGGGCTGTAGTTAAATTACTATCTGCCTCTTAGAATGCAGAATAAACTTCTTTTTTATTTAATACTGAATAAGTCATTTCGATCTTCTAAACGACTGATTAAGCTTATCATATCTAATCAAAATGTTGGAGTAGTTTAAGTCCCGGTTGAGGATGCGTTGATCAGTTCATTCTCCTACAATAAAGGTTTGATCGTTAACACATTTACAGGAGAAGAACAATCGTTGCATTTAATGATATCGAGTGCCATCAGTCACCCAGATAGAACCATTAATTTGGATTATCTATTGAGAAAGAGTCTTGTTTAGTGGTCAGTTAACATCTTATAAACTCTGATAAAACACACTAGGTAGCGTCAGAACATAGAAAAGCTCTATCCACTGCTCTTACGTGATAATGGTATTAAATGGGATTATCAATCTTCATCATCCCTCTTTAATTTCCGCACTGATCGAGTCATTCAAACGTCTCTAAAGAGAGCACATGGTGTTGTTAATTTCCTACTCGAAGAGTAAGGTTTTGACACTAAATGTATAAATAATAATCTTGCCTCATTGTACGGTAACACACAGGATACCCAAATCATAAGTAATCAACTAGCAAATTAGTGTACGTAAGCACATATATATTTTTAAAAAATGCAAATGATTCCTGGAAAACTAGCAGAAACGTTTGTATTCACAAATCATTTGTAGAGAACCGCTATAAGTGATCAAAATGCTTGAGTATCATGGTATTTGTGTGACTGTTGAAGTTGATGAGATAAATGATGTCATCCTACATATAATAAAAGTCAGGATGGATAGTACCAATCCAGGACATCTTTGGCAGCGATGCAATGTTATTCTGTTTGCTCAGTCGATCTCATTGATCTTCCCTCGTAGATACAGTAAAATAAATTTCTTTGAGTTACCTAGAGTTAATAAAGAGAATAGAAAGATCCCTTCATTTATGTTTTATGGTAGTTTGCTTTTGTTGGCTATACATAGTTCAAGGTTTACACCTTACATTTTGTTAGGATATTTTGGAATTGAATACACGTTATTCATTCGTACGACACAAAGATTCAGATCAATAATGAAAAAAAGCTTGCGTTGTTCAGCTATTTATAAATTAGGTGTTTTAGAATCCGATCATAGCTAACATTTGTTAGTTAAATAGCTGGGAGAACTTCATTTTCAATAACGAAAACAATAATGTGAAAATCGATTTAACAGTTTGATTCTTACGATGCTGTGTGGAAGCTATGAAGGTATTTTACATCGTTCTTCGTTGTTGTCTACTAACATCAAAGTTTAAAACTCAAGGTTCATCTATTCTGGAACTTGTCGCCTGAATATACTCAGACTTCAAGCGAATTAAGTTTTACTGGAAGTAGACATTAAAAAATCAGTATTTACTTGAGCATGTAAACTTTCCTCAATAACATCATGTTTTCTGTTGTCAGAAACGAAAGATTTTGCATATAAATTGTTATATGATATGAACACATTTATTGAAATCTTAAAGTAGTCGCTTACTGAAATCCTGGTAAATTTAGTTGACCTAAAAGTAGGCTAAACTTTCCTAATATAAACAATGCCTTTTTTCAGAAAATATAGAATTTTTCGCTATTTATATAAATCGTTCGATATTTACATGAATTGATCGATACTTATATCCGGTAAAAAGGTTGAGATGTTACTTATACTGATTGAAGTGTATTATAAATTTACATGGCTTAATTTATATCACTCACTATTATTTTGCGAAGAGAATTAGTGTCAACATCGTCTCTTCTTCAGAAAGATATAGAAGACAGTCAGTTGAAAGTTATTTTAAATAATCCATTGTAAGTTAGATCAAATAATACCCTTTGCAACTGAACATAATTATTTAATTACCATTACATTTGTTTGTTCTAATATAGATAATTTTATTCAAGCACTATTCACTTACGGTCATGTTACAGATACATAGTCATATGAGCTACGTTTTAGGACGAGATTGATAGACTGCCAAAAATATACACTAGACGATAGTGGTTACTAATTGGAAACATTATGTGACATGGCTTAGATTTGGTTACAGCGGAGCTATGGATCCTTTCATTCTCTCCTCCTAAATAATGAGTTTCAATATTCTTTGACACATCTGTTTTCTCATTCTATTTTTATAAAACCATATTTTTAGTGTTTAGTTCCTCTCATTTTCATTTATAATACAATTCAATTCCTTGGTTTTTAAATTATGATAACTTTATGTCCATGTTCTTACATGCTTATGTCAGCTTTTCCTAACACATCTGTGCCAGGCTCTACATTTCTTATGACTGACAAAACGACTGTAAAAAATATCAATTTTAACAGTATGCATTTTGTGAATGCTTTATTTTCATTTTGTTTGCTAAATATATCAAGATTTTGTTAGTCTGAAAAATAACTTGGTCTAAACTAGTCTAGTTAACACTTACGTTAAAACAATAAGCTTTTGTTGATTTTTAATCCAGTATACTCTAATATTCATGAGTTTTTATGTGTTTATATGGACTTTGTAGATTTGATATTGGCCGCTGAATTGGGTAAAGCTCTTCTTGACAGAAATCGAAAATTAGAATTAGCTTTAGAAAAATCAAAAAGTATTGAACAAGAAAAAGATGCTGAAATTGAAGTTAGTTTTGATTAATTAATTCTGGCTAATTTTAATTAAAACAATTATGTGAACGAAGAATCCTTGATTCACATATTACAGTTTCTTAAATTGATGTACTCTGCCTTAAACTTGGCCATTCTTCTTTTATGGATTATTAATTTATAATTGTAGAACCTGATGAGAAATTATTGAAAAGAATATTCTTCGTTCACATAATTGTTTTAATATGATGGGAATTTTTCAGTAATTTTAATTAATTTCATATGTTAACTGGTTGAAAAATACATGTTAAGTTAACAGTTGAATTCACGAGTCTATCTAAGCTAGACCACTATTGAAAACCTGGAAGCACTGGAAGGCGATCGTGGGATGCGCACTACTGAGGAGTCCCACACTAAGACGAAATGGCCGTTCAGTGATTCCAGGTTTTCATTGATGGTTCTAGCATTGATGGACTCATGAATTAAAATGTGAAAGTACTACATTCTCCACAAATCCCCATACTGACATGTTAAGGTTATAAAACTATCCAGAGCCAATAACTTGTACACCCTTTTAACTTGCTACCTTTTAGCGCTTACGTTTCAATGTAAACCAGATGACAGGTCAGGTTAGTTTGAGACTTGAATCTCAGAAAGATGCATTAACAGTGAATTTTTCAAGATATATTGTGGATTATTTTTACATAAACTTGTTTCAAACTTGATTATGTTTTATGTTCATATATATCTAGGAGTTTTCAAAAGCTTCTATCTCATGTCTGATTCTAATTTATTCAAGTCGTTAGATTTGTTTCATTTAGCAATTTTATTAAAGTGACTAATATTTTCCACAAAATGTTGTAAATGTCATTACACTAGTGAATCAGTATCTTTAAATAAAAATTTGTTTCGATGAAAAATTGAAGGTATTCTGGCTAAACATGTATATTTATATTGTTATTGAATTAACCGCTATTGAAATTATCAATCTGTCATGCTTAGTAAGTAAAATATGGTCCAGTCGAAAGCAGACAATTAGCCGTTATGTTATTCATTTAGAAGAAAGTTTGTAGTCATAAATAAGTGAACCCACTATTAGAAAAGCAAAAATATGACAGTGAATGAAAAAAGTTTCGATTTTCACTTTGATTTAATAGTTTACTTGCTACTAGCAGTATTCATGAAATTTTAGAGTTTCGGTTATCTGAAGTAAACTGGCGGCTCAGAATTCGTCATAGTGCCACTAATCCGGTCCCTGTTTGTCTACTCCTGTATTCTGAGTTTCAAAATTATTTTATACTTTTAATCTTACGGGTTAATTCATTCTTCTCGAACCATTTTTTGTTTCTGATCACTTTTACTATTGATACTGTTAATACATCTACTACTTTGTTATTCGTCTTGATATTTTCATCCCTCCTCATTTCCGTGATGCAGCATTTTGCGGATTTTTCTGTAAGTGTGAAGTTCTATATTGTTTATGATTAAGTGACTGAATTAATAACCCAAGTTGACTGACTTTTTGTATCTGTTCTACGTGGTTTTTAAGAATATTCTTCAAATAATGTCAACTTATGTTCGTAGCTGCTGTAATTTTAACTCACTTTCATACTCTATCAACCTTAAAAAATTGTTTATATCAATATTCTTACTAATATTGATTACTTTCTTGTACTTTAACTATACAGTTGTTATTTCAGTAGTTTAATGTTACTACCTGCTTTTACCTTGATGAAATCCTCTTAATGGATCGATTACAAATGTATTAAATTTTCACACAGAACAAGAACTTGTCTATCATCAAAGCTTTTTTAATCAGTTTGCTAAGGTATATTAGGAAGTAGAACTTACAGTACTTACTAATGTACTACACAATTGAATTATATTTAAACAGTATGTTAACATTCCGGGAACATGAAGATTGACACTAGCTGAAAAATCAATGAAAACTTGGTAGTTGGTTCATATTTATTTGCAATGGTATACAACCACAATCATCACACAGAATCTCAAGGCCAGCACAATATGTTTAAATTATTGAGTTATAACACTTGATGCGCATTTACAACTCCAGTTAACTCGTATTAATATTGTGTTACTATCTATTCAACGTTTTCGGTTAAATGTTTCCCAACAGGCTTGGAATACATCATTCTTGGAACTGATGACAATAATGAATGCACGGTTATTTTTAAGTTGGGTGTTTAGTGGTGATTAGCAGAATATCAAAACCCTCAGTTAAACGTGCCCTTTGGTTTGAATTGTTCTTTACAAACAACTCAAATAAATGCAAATATATGTCATTGATAGTCAACAGCGGTTTGAATTAAAACCGAACACACTAGTATCTCATTATTGGAAAGCTTACTTACTTACTTACGCCTGTTACTCCCAATGGAGCATAGGCCGCCGACCAGCTTTCTCCAACCCACTCTGTCCTGGGCTTCCTTTTCTAGTTCTATCCAGTTCTTGTTCATTCTTCTCATGTCTGTCTCTATTTCTCGGCGTAATGTGTTCTTTGGTCTTCCTCTTCTCCGTTGACCTTCAGGATTCCATGTGAGGGCTTGTCTTGTGACGCAATTAGGTGATTTCCTCAAGGTGTGCCCAATCCACTTCCAGCGCTTCTTCCTGATTTCTTCCTCTGCTGGAATCTGGTTTGTTCTCTCCCACAGTAACTTATTGCTGATAGTGTCTGGCCATCGGATCCGAAGTATTTTGCGTAGACAGCTGTTGATGAACACTTGTATCTTCTGGATAATGGCTTTCGTATTTCTCCACGTCTCCGCCCCATACAGTAGAACTGTCTTGACATTTGTATTGAAAATTCTAACCTTGGTGTTGGTTGACAATTGTTTTGAGCTCCAGATGCTTTTCAGTTGTAGGTATGCTGCTCTTGCTTTGCCAATCCGCGCCCTCACATCTGCATCAGATCCACCGTGTTCATCAATGATGCTGCCCAGATATGTAAAGATTTCCACATCCTCCAAAGCTTCTCCGTCAATTGTAATTGGATTGGTGCATATTGTATTGTATCGGAGAGTCTTGCTTTTCTCTTTGTTTATATTGAGACCTACTGCTGCTGAGGCTGCTGCTACACTGGTCGTTTTCTCCTGCATTTGTTGTTGCGTTTGTGCTAGAAGAGCCAGATCATCCGCGAAGTCTAAATCGTCAAGCTGCATCCTGCCTGTCCACTGTATCCCGTGGTTTCCTCCAGATGTTGACGTCTTAATGATCCAGTCGATGACCAGGAGAAAGAGAAAGGGTGAGAGTAAGCAACCTTGCCTCACACCGGTCTTTACTTGAAACGAGTCGGTGAGTTGTCCTCCGTGGACGATTTGGCAGTTTAGTCCATCATAGGAGTTCCGTATGATATTTACTATTTTCTCAGGCACGCCGTAGCGTTGAAGAAGCTTCCATAGTGTCGTCCTGTCCACGCTATCAAATGCCTTCTCGTAGTCGATGAAGTTGATGTAGGGTGATGAATTCCATTCGATTGATTGTTCCACAATGATACGTAGAGTTACGATTTGATCTGTGCACGACCTATCCTTACGAAATCCAGCTTGTTGATCTCGAAGTTGGGCGTCCACGGAATCCTTCATCCTGTTTAACAATACTCGGTTGAAGACTTTCCCTGGTATTGAGAGAAGAGTGATGCCCCTGTAGTTGTCGCACTTGCTCAGATCGCCTTTCTTTGGTATCTTGATGAGAAGTCCTTTTTTCCAGTCTGTTGGTACTTGTTCTTCGTCCCAAATCTTACTGAAGAGGATGTGGAGTATCTTGGCAGTTGCTGTTACATTTGCTTTCAGTGCCTCTGCCGGAATGTTGTCTGGTCCCGCTGCTTTGCCACTCTTGACTTGTCTAATGTCCATGCTGATCTCTTCAGTTGTTGGTGTGCCAATATCGATTGGGAGGTCCATGGGTGCTGCTTCGATGTTGGGTGGGTTCAGTGGGGCTGGTCGATTCAAGAGTTGTTTGAAGTGTTCTACCCACCTGTTTCGTTGTTCTTCAATGTCGGTGATTACTTTGCCTTCCTTGCTCTTCACTGGTCTTTCTGGCTTACGGTAATTTCCAGCAAGTTTCTTTGTTGTATCATACAATTGTCTCATGTTTCCTTCTATTGCAGCCTTTTCCGCTGTCGTTGCTAAATCTTCAACATATTTACGTTTGTCGGTTCTGATGCTCCTCTTCACTTGCTTGTTTGCCTCTGTGTATTCGGCTTGTGCCTTGGCTTTTTCCGCTCTGGTTCGGCTGATATTGATTGCTGCCTTCTTGTTCCTCCTTGCTTCAATCTTATCCAGTGTACCAACAGTGGTCCATTCCTTGTGATGGTGCTTCTTTTGGCCCAGAACCTCCTGACATGTTGAAACGATTGCCTCCTTGATACCTTTCCAGTTGCTCTCCATGGTAGTCCCCTCTCCATTGAGTAGGTCATGAAAGGCCTCGAACCTGTTGCTGAGGGCTATGTTGAATTTGTTGAGTTTGTCAGCATCTCGAAGAAAGGCCGTATTAAACTTTTGTGATGTTGTCCGCGCCGTTGTCCACTGCTTCTTGAGTTTTAGTTTCATCTTGGCGACCAGCAAATGATGATCGGATGCTATATCAGCTCCTCTTCTGGTTCTCACATCCTCCATCGTCCTCCTGAACTTTTTGTTGATGCAGATATGGTCGATTTGATTTTGTGTAGTGTGATCCGGTGAAATCCAAGTGGCTTTGTGTATGTTTTTGTGTGAGAATATGGTGCCACCTACGACCAGTTTATTGAAGGCACATAGGTTTGCAAATCTCTCACCGTTTTCGTTCCTTCCTCCCAGTCCATGTTGTCCCATGACGTCTTCGTATCCAGTGTTGTCCATTCCAACCTTAGCATTGAGATCTCCCATCCGAATTGTCAGGTCCTTGGTTGGGCACTTATCGACGATCGACTGCAGCCTATCGTAGAATTGGTCTTTAGCGTCTTCATCGTAGTCATTGGTAGGCGCATAGCATTGGATGACGTTCATTGTAATGCCCTCTCTCTTTGTTCTGAAGGAGGCT